GGGCTCAGTAGGTTGGAGCTTGGTTCCATACACAGAAAGGTTGTGGGTTCCATGCATACAGGAGCCAACTGATCAATGTTTCTCTCTCACACTGATGTTTCTCTCCCCCCCTCGTTCTCTTGCTTTCTCCCTCTCTTCTTCTCGCTCTAAAATCAATAAAAACATCCTCGGACCGAAACCAGTTTGGCTCAGTGGATAGAGCGTTGGCCTGCGGACTAGGGGGTCCCAGGTTCGATTCCGGTCAAGGGTATGTACCTGGGTTGCGGGCACATCCCTAGTAGGAGATGTGCAGGAGGCAGCTGATCGTTGTTTCTCTCTCATCGATGTTTCTAACTATCTCTCTCCCTTCCTCTCTGTAAAAAAAAAAATCAATAAAATATATTTTAAAAAACATCCTCGGGTGAGGATTAAAAAAATAAAAAATTAAGGTGAAGAAAATCTTAAAAAAGCACACTCTTAAGAAGAAACAAAGACAAACACTGACCCGATGTCAATCTGTATCACCAGGCTGGGGGAGATATGGCCTTGATTTTATGTACATCCAGCACCAGAGGAAAGATCAAAAGACTTAAAGAGACATGACTCCGCCCAGCTGGCGTGGCTCAGTGGTTGAGTGTCCACCTATGAACCAGGAGGTCATTGTCAGGGCACATGCCTCAGTTGTGGGCTCCATCCTCAGTGTAGGGTGTATAGAAGGCAACCAATCAATGATTCTCTCTCATCAGTGATACTTTTATCTCTCTCTCCCTCTCCCTTCCTCTCTGAAATCAGTAAAAATATTTTTTTTAAAAAGAGAAACATGGTTCCCTGAAGCAAGGGAAGAATGACATTCAGGGCTTGAAAATTGTTTATACCTAACAGGGAAGCCCAGTTTCTTCAGCTCAGCGAAATAGCAACCACCATCAGATTTGTCCATGAACAACATTCTCATGTAGTCATACATATACAGATAAACGATATCGCACTTCACCCTTTGTGAAGTAAACGCTAAAGTCCAAGTTGTATAACAGCTATTGTGCAAAGGCTTAAGATATCAAGAAGTGGGAGAGAATAAGGAGAATATCAAGGGGACAGGACTACCCCTTCCTAAAGATGAAAGGGTTCCACCCAGACACACCTTTTTATATGTCGTCTCTCCTGAGGAATCAACACCTCTGTGGCCTATTTTCTTGATGGACATGCCAGGGGCATAAGGTACCTAGAAAAAGAAGAGTCAAGATTAATATATAATTCCCACGTAATACACCAAACAGCTACCATGACGACAAACCAAAACATTCAACATACCCTTTTTAGGTTATAAACATTTATAAAACCTTCAGAAGACCCACCCTATGCAAACACACAGCTACAGTGTTGCTTCCCAGTGAATTAACTGGCTGAAAAAACACAGAAGAAAACCCGAAGGATGCATATTTCACCTTTGGCCCACAGAATGACAACACAGAAAGTAAAAATGAGTATAATTAAAGAAAAGTGGAAACAGGAGAAGTTCAAAAAAGCAGGACAGGTTACAAGTAGAGTTCCACAGTTCCCCTCTTTTTTTCACCAGCTTCCTTTCAGAAATTACTACCTCTCTAACCTTCAATCTAATCTGAATACCAACTGCTCAAACTGAATTTACCATGAGAAATTATCTTGCCACTGGCAAATGCAAGTACTGCGAGGCCAGGAATGAAAAGGCTGAGGCAAGAAGATGACTCCTCTGAGATAGTGTATGGGCCTCAGTGCCTTGAAGAGATTCCTGAGAACATAATACGCCTTTGTTTTCTACCCATATATCAGCCCCTGAAATAAGGAAGAGGTAAAACCAGTAGAGCAGAGCCTAGAAGGCTATTCCCCACAGCCAAAATGCCAGCACAACAGACAGGAAGGTCTTCTTCATGATGTCAATGCTAATTAAGTTAATAAGCCAGAAGGCAAGAAGGCTAGTGAAAATAAGATGTCTTGATCTTAGGACTTGATATTCAAGTTCTACTTCTTGCTAAGGCTCTTAGTGCTAGAAAACCATCTATATATAACCTCACAGTTCTTAGAACAGTGGTTCTCAACCTTCCTAATGCCACAACCCTTTAATACAGTTCCTCATGTTGTGGTGACCCCCAATTTCATTGTTACAAATTGAACATAATTAAAGCATAGTGATTAATCACAAAAACAATATGTAATTATGTATGTGTTTTCCGATGGTCTTAGGCGACCCCTGTGAAAGGGTCTTTCGACCCCCAAAGGGGTCACGACCCACAGGTTGCCAGGACAAAAGGATCAACATTCTGAAGCCTCGTCATACAACCCATGAGAGAGGCAAGAAGAGGGCTGAGAAGCAAGTTAAGCAAATGGAAAACATTTTGCACAGAAAAAAAAAGTAGGAAATTTAACTTCTGTATGGTTAAATGAAGATATTCAAATTCACTGAAGCTGTGCAACCAGAGGCAGTAACAGCAAAAAAAGGAGAGTAGGTTTTAGTGTTGGATTGTCTGGATCTGAATCCTACACTTATTAATCTCACTTATTAACTATGTGACTTTGGGCAAGTTACAGAACCTCTAATCCTCACTTTCCTCATCTGTAAGACATGAATGACAGTACTTCCCTCATAGGAGTTGTTTGCAAGATTACAGGTCACTTAGGTACATTATTTATTCTTTGGTACATTAAAAATGTATTAAATTGCCCAGCTGATGTGGCTCAGAGGTACAGCATCGACCCATGCACCAGGAGGTTACCGGACAGAGCACATGCCCAGGTTGCAGGCTTGATCCCCAGGAGAGGGCATATAGGAGGCAACCGATCAATGATTCTCTTTCATCATTGATATTTCTATCTCTCCCTCTCCCTTTCTCTCTGAAATCAAGTATACGTGTGTGTGTGTGTGTGTGTGTGTGTGTGTGTAAAAGAATCAACCAATGAATGCATAAATAAGTAGAACAACAAATTGATGTTTCTCTCTCTCCCCCTTCCTCTCTTTACAATTTATAAAAAATTAAATAAACTGCAACAAAAGTAGAATTGCATAATTTCTAGCTCACCAAACAGATATAAGAACTCTGTCTAGTTCCTGAGACTTAAACAGGGGGGAAATAAAGATGTCAGAACCAGCCCTAACCGGTTTTGCTCAGTGGATAGAGCTTCGGCCTGCGCAATGAAGGGTCCCAGGTTCAATTCCAGTCAAGGGCATGTATCTTGATTGCGGGCACATCCCCAGTAGGGAGTGTGCAGGAAGCAGCTGAATCGATGTTTCTCTCTCATTGATGTTTCTAACTTTCTATCTCTCTCCCTTCCTCTCTGTAAAAAATCAATAAAAATATATATTAAAAAAAAAGATGTCAGAACCAGGTATCCTTCTGGTTTTAGAACCAATGTATCAATAAGAAACTTACCTCAGATGCCATGGTTCTCTTGTTTCCAGAAGCTGTTAAAAAAATAAACAAAACACAATTATAAGTGTGTACACACACCCACTCAGATATCTCTATCCTGCACACTGAAACAATCAGGGTCTGAGTCAAATTAAACCTAACAATGAGCTCTGGCCTCTCGCTCTGTGATACCGTTTGGACAGAGATTTTAAAAGTCCCTTCCTCGTTCTCCCTAATATTCATAGAGCCCTTGAGTACATTCCATTCCTGTTCTAGTCCCTTTTCTTACTCAAGTGTTCATATTTTCTCTGGGAAATAGACCTGTTCTTGATACATCAGAGTCAGAGGGTCTCACTTGATACCATGGCTGAAAGAGAAAGGGCAAAAGAGACCCAAGACTAATTGGAAAGTCTGGGGCTTGATTAATATTTTTTTCCTGTAGAACTAAAAGGGTGAGAATTTTTAGAGCATATCTAAGGTTATTTTCTCCTCTTTAATTATTTCAACTCTTCAGAAAGAGCTGATCTGTGAAGAAGAAAGAGGCTAAGGATGAGAAAATGCAAAATCGAAATAATGAAAAGGCATTCAGTGCAAGCAGAAACTGATTCTGCATCCCTACAGCCACAGCTTCATTTCTGCTGTAAACTCAACAGGAATTTGTTGGCATTTACTTACTAAAGTTTTACTTACTATTTAATCAGTGCAGGCATTTTTGTAGTTAAATCTCATTATTATTTATGACTTTTATCCATTTAATTTTAGAAAAGATTTTAAGAATAAGTATGTTCAGAAAGTTATCTATAGAAAAATGTATTCTGATTAAGTCAATTCTTCAGGGATTGCCATCCCCATAACCTTCATCCATGATCACATCAGAGATACATCATCACGCAGGAAGGCAAACCTTCCTTCCCATTTCATATTGGAGAAGGTTGGCCTTTGTCTTCATAGATTACTAATTATCACATCAATCTAGCTCTAAAGAATTCAAAAGGAATAAAGATTAGCCATATTAAAGAAAATTAAAAAGAGGAGTCCAAATGGGATGAATCTTCAATAACATAATACCTGAGTAGGAAGTCCCTAGTTTCAGTCCATATATAAAGATTAATGTTGAGGCAGCAACAGGGACACATGGCATCGAGGATAATCAGGTAAAGCCCTAATTATAATTGTTTAAGACAAATGGTCAAGCACCCCGAGAATTTCAGAATATAGCTGGGCTCAGAGAGGTTAGAACAGCTCCTAGTCGCACAGACCAAGTATTTCTGGTACAATAAGCAGAGCAGCAAAATTTCCTTCCTCATGGTGAGTCAGAGTGGCAAAAAATGAAGAGCACCATAGTTTTCATTTCTCTTCCAAAAAAGGAGGAAAGGGAACTGTCACTTAGCTGTGAGGAGACATACTGCATAAAATAACACCCCAAAAATGGGAGGAAAAAACATCAGTGCCCAATAATTTACATGTTTTGTAGGATGCTACATCTTCAATAATGCTGACTTCAGCTGGGTGAAAGATTAGGCAAATTAGGATTGGAACCCTAAGCAAAAGCCAGGACGACTCAGATTTATAATTAAAACTCTACTGACTTACTACAAAATTTAAGGTGTCTGCCAAAAAAAACAATAGTCAAACCTTTTATATATTACAACCTTTTAGCCAAGAGCAAGTAAACATGCTCAACTATTAAAAAATTCGAAGACCTGGGTTCAAACCCTTGTTATATCAGGCAAATTGCTCTCTACGTTTAACTAAAAGGAAAGAAACCTAAATTAGGTTATATAAAGATTAGATAAGGTATATTCAAAGTACTTTATGGACTATGAAGTGCTAAACAAATATGTTGCCAGATGTGATTTCTAACGCAAGAGCAAAGTTGAGTTCACAGGAAGGTTTAATGTTCAATTACCTAGAACATCATAAAATGTTAATTAGCATTTCAAAGTACTTGGCTCCTCCCAACTCCCTCCCACCCCAACATACCCTCCTGAAAGTACACACACATAACTATGGAATCAGTGATTCTCAATGAGAAAATCAGTATAATTTCAGTTGTGAAGACAAACACTGATTCTGGACTCCTTGATCGGTACCTGGCCGACCCACTTTTCCCCCCAAGGAAGGGGTTTGGAAGGGATCTGGAAGAACCAAGAAAAGCCAATATCTAGTCCTAGTTTGACAGTCTCACCTACAAAATATGCACGGAGTAATTGGACAAGTTAAATAATGGAGGGGGAAAGCAGATAAATGATTTCAAGGCAGGGTCTAAGTTTGGGACTTTCTAACTTCCAAAAGTTCTACTTTGCTAACTTTCCTGGTTTTATGACACAAACATATAGCTCTAGGGTTGTTAACTCTTGCAAAGTTTGCAGAATGAGGGTGGGAGAACTTCACTCAATGGAATTTTGGTGCCAACTACTTAGCTATCTCCAACTGCAAAGCTGGGATTAACCCAAGTACACTATAGCTGAAGCAGGTAGAAAGATATTGGGGTTTAAATAATAATAGAATAAATAATAGGGAGGAGAAGAATCAGGACCCAAGACTCATTCTCTTTCTTGCCTTAAATTTTGCCCCTTGGGCACAGATCAGAGCTCTAACCTACCAAAGATGAATGGAGGGAAGAGAAAAATGCTTAGAGAATTTTGCCAGTGTTGATAAAACACCCAGTGCGGTTCAGAAACCCAATGAAGAGCAGAGTGACATTTCAGGAAACCGGGTACCATCTGCTAAGGATTGACCAAATAGCCCAAAGCTCTGCCAATGAGAAATTGTCCCCTGAGGAAGTACATGAGACTAAAGAGTCACCAGCACTGTACCTGTTCACCTCATAATCAAGCTCTCTTCTTTACGTGCAGTGAAAGAAGGGCGCAGGGGGGAGCCACGGAGGGAAGGGGAGGAGGAGAGAAGTGGGGGGAAAAAAGAGAAAGAGGTAAAAGACCAACTCAGCATGGCAGTAACCGGCTTGGTAATAACGCCAGCCAACCACTGAGATTCATCCCTATGAATAACACTAAAATATTATTCAAAAGAAAGTTTGTTTTCTAGCATCTCTGTGGAAAATACTTTCTGATAAGGTTATAGCACCACTTTACAATCCCTATCCATGATCCATATATATCATTCTCTTTTTGGGTAGGGAAATTGAATGGAGAGTAGAATTCCAATGTTGAAATTAACTTTTTTTCAAAGAAAAACTTTTTCCTGAGTAATTTTGGAACCTGCTTCTCCCCTTCTAAGTCAAAACTCTGGAGGACTATTATCAATATGGCTACATTATCATTAGTTTACTCTAGGAAATGTGGCATGTGCTGTAAGAAAGAAAGAGAGCACATTACCCAACAGTGGGTTATAGAAGCTGACAGCTTAGCTATAAAAGCTATTGAGAAGGTTCTACACTAGCTTCTCCTCGTTGGCTTAATTTTAATACATCTCAGCACAGCTCGATGCAAAATTATTTCTGCTCCTCTCCATTCACTTATTCAACAACTACTTATTGGTCACCTGTTATATGTCAGGAATTATGCTAGGTACTCTTGGAAGTTATGTTCCTGACCTGGAGGAGCTCATAATATTTCTACCTTTTCTCCATCACTTGGGCATCTCCATATTATCCTACTTCACCTTAATGGTGACTGTAAGACTACAATGAAATGCTGACACATTTTTAGAAAGGCTATTTCTCTCCACTGACCAAACAATGTATATTTTTATAGCACTTTAAAAGTTTACAAACATATATCTTGTTTGGCCCTCAAAATATTACAACAGGATGCGGGAATTGTTTTTAATTAAGAACTTAAGAGAGGTATCCACCAAATATAATGTGTAAAAGTTGTTTGGATGCTGTTTAGAAAATAAGCTTCAGATTTCTGAGACAGAGGCCTTGAGAGGAGAAATTAAATAACCTTTTTTAATTTTGAAGATGTGACACTGCTACCATGGTAATATTACAACTCCTTCTCCCCTCAAAATAGAGTCCTTATCTGTAGAGGTACATTCTGAACTATTTATGGCTGAAATCACATGAAGACTGAGTTCGCTTTAAAAAAAATCCCAGGAGGTGGAGGTGGAAGACTGGAGAATAATAGATGCAAATTTGGCAAAATGTTGCTGTTGAAGCTAGCTGATGGGTAATGGTTCATTACACTATTCTCTATACGTGTGTATGTCTGAAAAAATTTACAATTAAAAGTTTAGTGAAGCCAAAACCGGTTTGGCTCAGTGGATAGAGCGTCAGCCTGCGGACTGAAAGGTCCCGGGTTCGATTCCGGTCAAGGGCATGTACCTGGGTTGCGGGCACATCCCCAGTAGGAGATGTGCAGGAGGCAGCTGATCGATGTTTCTCTCTCATCGATGTTTCTAACTCTCTATCTCTCTCCCTTCCTCTCTGTAAAAAATCAATAAAATATATTTTAAAAAAAAAAGTTTAGTGAAAAAATACCATAGAAGAAAAGAAAGCAAGTCTAGATAATCAAGCTTCTTCATCTGAGCTGGCTTCTTTCTGAGAGGTTTTCTCTAGTAAAAGTAAGCATCAAGGATGAAGCACTAACAGAAATTGTTTTTTTATTTTACAGAATTCCCAATTTATGTCCATAGTTTATTTCCTTCATGACTATGAGACTCCTCCTTATTAACAGGCCCTGGACCAAGAAGCACTGTAAACAACCAACTAATGTTGCTCTACTGGAAGCAAAAAAATAAAGCCATGACAAACAGGCTTCATCAGAAATAATAATGGTTCAGGTAACTTATTTTTGAGTGGGTCAATAGATGATATAGAGCTAATCATAGTAATTTCAAGCCCTACTTCCTCTACAGAAAGAAGAAAATGAAAAAGACCTGAAGAACCATTTTGGGGGATTTATTTTTTTTTAACTCTAGCCTGGGTATGTTCAGTCTGGCTAACATCTATAACTGTTAATGGAAGTTGATTTTTAAATAGAATAAGTTGAGAACTTAGCTTTTCAGCCCCCTAGTGAAGCTACTGTCCACTTTCAAGCTAACAAATCAATAACCATTTATATTAAGAAAAACATCATTCAGAAAGGGCCTTTATGATTTTTAGTCTAATTTTTTAAAAAAATAAACAAAAGCAGAGCATAAGGATGTGCTCAAAATCAGAGAGCAAAGCTGGTGACCAGGCCAGAATTGGAATCCATATTCCTAACCCCCAATCAACTCTCTTTTTCCTAAACCATCTTTTTGTTTTCGTTTCCTGGTGATCTTGAGTCTAGGAGGGACAAGAAAGCACCTAGAGAACTAGAACGCTCTAACAAACACATCTCGAAACTGCTAATGGACAAGATGAACATATATTTTCTTCCCTGGAGGTACCCCCTTCCCTTGGGACAAGAAAATGTATTTTTCACACTCCCTGATAGAGGATTAAGAGCAGAGTCCTCCTCCTTCAGTTCTTCTCAAGTAGATTAACAATAACAACACTGTTCTCCTGGTAACAGTCATAATGTCACCAGCAAAAATGCGTCTCACTTCTCTTAGTGAGATTATCCTTGTTCTGAACCACACAATGCCAGTGTCTAGAGGAACAAATCTGCTTTCAAGTCTGATACTTGAAAGCGCAGCTTCACAGACATTAAGGTCCTCACTAAGTAGCAGAAAGTATGTCTTTGCAGTAAGACCTCAACAACTTTAACAGAGCGGGGAAGCTCCTTTTATTTCAGACTAGTTTTCCTCTTGGTGCATGAGGGACCTTGACTTGCTCTGATTAAAAGCATTAGGCTTATGATTACTGAATTTGCAATGGATAAAAAGAGGGCATCTGATAGGCAAACTCTTTTGTTTGTTTAGTTTCAGGGATCTTGGAATTTTACTGCAGAATCAGTTACCAATCCTTGGCATGAATTCACATTAAAACTTAAAAAATATTTTCTGAAAGAGTGATTAATAACTCCACATATTATGCAACAAGAGGTCAGAATTTTGTTGCTTTTTTAAGGAGAGTTAAAGTCAGAAGGAGACATTCCCTTCTGTACTAGTCTCTCCTTCAGTAAGGACTACTGTTTCAGTCAGTACTCATTCAACAACAAATATTTAATTTGGTTTAAAGTCAGGTTAGTTTGCACACAGACTTTCAAATTAGCGAGGGAGCAATTATAGCGTAGTGGGTAGGATTATGGGCTCTGAAATCTGAACACCTAGGTTTGCTACGTTTGAATATGAGATCCATTCTTTACTAACTAGGTAACCTTGGACAAGTTCATTAAAACTCTCTGGGCCTTGGTTACCTTATCTATAAAGGGGAGAAATAATACCGTACCTCATAGGGCTGTTATGAGAACTAAAATAAGTCATGTATAGCACTTAACATATAATATATACTCTATAAATATAAGCAATTATTATCATTGTGAATTATGAAACCCCATCTACACGATAGGAAGGGTCATGGGAGAGGTGCAGCAGAAAAAAAGAACTGAGAGACTCATTTACTGCCCAGCCGGTGTGGCTCAGTGGTTGAGCGTCAACCTATGAACCAGGAGGTCACAGTTCGATTCTCAGCAGGGGCCAGGTTGCGGGCTTGATCCCGTGTGGGGCGTGCAGAAGGCAGCCAATCAATGATTCTCTCTCATGACTGGTGTTTCTATCTATCTCTATCTCTCCCCCTTCCTCTCTAAAATCAATAAAAATATTTTTCCCCCAAAAAAATATTTTTTTAAAGAAAAAAAAAGAGACTCATTTACTAAAACAAAAGGACATGAAGTTATAGGAAGATTTTGAAGGAGACAAAAAGTTAGGGAGTTGACTGATTCATATTATACCGTGAAACTGTGAGAAATATATTTCTCTGTTAAGAGCATCTTTTTTGGAGAGGGCGAGTAAGTTATGTTCAATAAGAAATCCACAGCCTTCTCAGAAGAAGACCATGCGCTACCACTGCAAACAATCTGCAACTGTTACGGGGAGAGCCGCTGGCTGCTAGTTACTGCGGAGCTCATGCTTCTTCAGCACAGATACACATCAGATCTACCTCTCTTACTCCTGACCCCACAGCACAGACAGTTGAAACCTAAATGAGGAAAAACAGAAAGTTATCACTTATTTCTAGGATTGTACTTACTTACAGCAGAAAAAGCGTATCTTTTTGAAAACTCTAAAGTTTAAAATTATGAACAGGATCTGGCCTGATCCCCAATACCATACTGTGAAATGTGAGATGATTTTTTTGTAGTTGTAAGTACTAGTAAATGTCCAAAAAACAAGAGAAAAAGAAGTTCTGGAAAAAAAAAAATTCCAAGAGTAGTCACAAAACTTGTAACCCAAATCATTTCTCTCTGGAGTGATTTCAGATTGGCAACAAATTTTCAGGTATAAAAAGTCTTTTGCATGCAAGCTTCTGATCTTTTAAGAAAGAACAGTAGCCCTGGCTGTTTTGCTCAGTGGTTAAAGCATCAACCCTCCAACCAAAGGGTCACAGGTTCAAGTCCCAGTCAAGGGCACGTACCTCATTGCAGGTTCCGCAGCCCTGGTAGGGGTACGTGCAGGAGGCCACCAATCGATGTGTCTCTCTCACTATGATGTCTCTCTCTCTCCCTCCCTCCTTCCCTCCCACCTCCTTTCCACTTTCTCTAGAAATCAATGGAAAAAGTATCCTCTGGTGAAACAACAACAAAAGAATATGCATACATTTTACTTGAGGATCTTCCTTTCATTCTTAGAGGGCAATCTGGCAATATCTAGGCAAATAGTCTTAAAATAGCACTGTATATAGTAACTATAACTGGAAAGATACCATAATTGGAAAGACTCTAAATGAACAACAGGGGGTTGGTGATATAAATTATGGTGAAATCATAAAATGGAATAGTATATAACCATTGTTTTATTGTATACTTATAGATAGGATGTCACAGTAAGTTGTTGGAAAAGGTAAAAAAAATTATATAGTACCATATTTTGAAAACATACTTATCTATAAATTCACATGTACTTACATACATAAAAAAGGTCCAGAAAACATAGATCAAAATGTTAAAATATGACTATCTTGGATAGTGGGGTTAGGTTAATTTGTAAATTTAAATTTTCTCATCTATATAAATTTTCTGTATAGGTGGCTTTATTATAATTCTCTTTACTTCATAACCCATTTTTCCCAGTAAATCACAACTCAACAGTCCCACACATACAGACTCACATCACTCCCTGCCCAACACATTAACTCAAGCTCATTACAATTACATCATGCTGCTGCAGAGACAGACTAGAAGGAAAAGATGAAGAGAAAATACCTCAAATGCTGCTAACAATCCCAAGCTACAAATAAGCATTACTTCTTTTTAAAAAAAAAAATGTTTTCTTTAAAAGGACAATAAACGTTTTAGAAAAAAAAAATTTTTTTCTTTTTTTTAAGATATATTTTATTGATTTTTTTTACAGAGAGGAAGGGAGAGGGATAGAGAGTTAGAAACATTGATGTGAGAGAAACATCGATCAGCTGCCTCCTGCACACTCCCCACTGGGGATGTGACCGCAACCAAGGTACATGCCCTTGACCAGAATCGAACCTGGGACCCTTGAGTCCACAGGCTGACGCTCTATCCACTGAGCCAAACTGGTTAGGGCAAATTTTTTTCTTCTTAAAAGCATGACTCCTAGTCCTGGTCGGTATAGCTCAGGTGGTTGCAGCATCCTCCATACACTGAAAGGTTGCAGGTTTGACTCCTGGTCAGGGCACATACCTAGGTTGCGGGTTTGATCCCCAGTTGGGAAGCATATGGGAGGCAACTGACTGATGTTTGATGTTTCTCTCCCTCTCTCCCTTTTCTCCCCTCTCTAACGATCAATGAACATATCCTTGGGTGAGGATTTTTTAAAAAGCATGACTCCTATATACTCACTTTCTCCACTACATATTACTTAGAGATGCCTATTCAACCTGAAACAAGCCCGTATCAGCATATATGAGGTTCCTTCTGAAGTTTATTTTTTAATATCCTTCAGAATATCATTTCTCCTATAAAACTGGGATACCTGATTTCAGCACATCTCCTGGATGAGAAGACTTGAAAAATATCAAAGATCTAGCCTCTAAATTATGAAAATAAGCTGAGAAATC